GGGTCTGTGTGGGTGAGTGAATGGGGGTCTGTGTGGGTGAGTGAGTGGGGGTCTGTGTGGTGACTGAGTGGGGGTCTGTGTGGGTAAGTGAGTGGGGGTCTGTGTGGGTGAGTGGGGGTCTGTGTGGGTGAGTGAGTGGGGGTCTGTGTGGGTGAATGAGTGGGGGTTTGTGTGTGAGTGAGTGGGGGTCTGTGTGAGTGAGTGAGTGGAGGTCTGTGTGGGTGAGTGAGTGAGGGTCTGTGTGGGTGAGTGAGTGGGGGTCTGTGTGGGTGAGCGAGTGGGGGTCTGTGTGGGTGAGTGAGTGAGTGAGTGGGGGTGTGTGTGGGTGAGTGAGTGCGGGTCTGGGTGAGTAAGTGAGTGAGTGGGGTTCTGTGTGGTGAGTGAATGGGGGTCTGTGTGGGTGAGTGAATGGGGGGTCTGTGTGGTGAGTGAGTGGGGGTCTGTGTGGGTGAGTGAGTGGGGGACTGTGTGGGTGAGTGAGTGGGGATCTGTGTGAGTGAGTGGAGGTCTGTGTGGGTGAGTGAATGGGGGTCTGTGTGGGTGAGTGAGTGGGGTCTGTGTGGGTGAGTGATTGGGGGTCTGTGTGGTGAGTGAGTGGGGGTCTGTGTGGGTGAGTGAGTGGGGGTCTGTGTGGTGAGTGAGTGGGGGTCTGTGTGGGTGAGTGAGTGGGGGTCTGTGTAAGTGAGTGAGTGGGGGTCTGCGTGGGTGAGTGAGTGGAGGTCTGTGTGGGTGAGTGAGTGGGGGTCTGTGTGAGTGAGTGGGGGTCTGTTTGGGTGAGTGAATAGGGTCTGTGTGGGTGAGTGAGTGGGGTCTGTGTGGGTGAGTGAGTGGGGGTCTGTGTGGTGAGTGAGTGGGGGTCTGTGTGGGTGAGTGAGTGGGGGTCTGTGTGGGTGAGTGAGTGGGGGTCTGTGTGGTGAGTGAGTGGGGGTCTGTGTGGTGAGTGAATGGGGGTTTGTGTGGGTGAGTGAATGGGGGTCTGTGTGGGTGAGTTAGTGGGGGTCTGTGTGGTGAGTGAATGGGGGTTTGTGTGGGTGAGTGAGTGGGGGACTGTGTGGGTGAGTGAGTGGGGGTCTGTGTGAGTGAGTGGGGGTCTGTGTGGGTGAGTGAATAGGGGTCTGTGTGGGTGAGTGAGTGGGGTCTGTGTGGGTGAGTGAGTGGGGGTCTGTGTGGTGAGTGAGTGGGGGTCTGTGTGGGTGAGTGAGTGGGGGTCTGTGTGGGTGAGTGAGTGGGGGTCTGTGTGGTTAGTGAGTGGGGGTCTGTGTGGGTGAGTGAGTGGGGGTCTGTGTGGGTGAGTGAGTGGTGGTCTGTGTGGGTGAGTGTGGGTCTGTGTGGGTGAGTGAGTGAGTGGGAGTCTGTGTGGGTGAGTGAATGGGGGTCTGTGTGGGTGAGTGAATGGGGGTCTGTGTGGGTGAGTGAGTGGGGTTCTGTGTGGGTGAGTGAGTGGGTTTCTGTGTGGTGAGTGAATGGGGGTCTGTGTGGGTGAGTGAATGGGGGTCTGTGTGGTGAGTGAGTGGGGGTCTGTTTGGGTGAGTGAGTGGGGGACTGTGTGGGTGAGTGAGTGGGGGTCTGTGTGGGTGAGTGGAGGTCTGTGTGGGTGAGTGAATGGGGGTCTGTGTGGGTGAGTGAGTGGGGTCTGTGTGGGTGAGTGATTGGGGGTCTGTGTGGTGAGTGAGTGGGGGTCTGTGTGGGTGAGTGAGTGGGGGTCTGTGTGGTGAGTGAGTGGGGGTCTGTGTGGGTGAGTGAGTAGGGGTCTGTGTAAGTGAGTGAGTGGGGGTCTGCGTGGGTGAGTGAGTGGAGGTCTGTGTGGGTGAGTGAGTGGGGGTCTGTGTGGGTGAGTGAATGGGGGTCTGTGTGGGTGAGTGAGTGGGTGTCTGGATGAGTGAGTGGGGGTCTGTGTGGGTGAGTGAGAGGGGGTCTGTGTGGGTGAGTGGGGGTCTGTGTGGGTGAGTGAATGGGGGTCTGTGTGGGTGAGTGAGTGGGGGTCTGTGTGGTGACTGAGTGGGGGTCTGTGTGGGTAAGTGAGTGGGGGTCTGTGTGGGTGAGTGGGGGTCTGTGTGGGTGAGTGAGTGGGGGTCTGTGTGGGTGAATGAGTGGGGGTTTGTGTGTGAGTGAGTGGGGGTCTGTGTGGGTGAGTGAGTGAAGGTCTGTGTGGGTGAGTGAGTGAGGGTCTGTGTGGTGAGTGAGTGGGGGTCTGTGTGGGTGAGTGAGTGGGGGTCTGTGTGGTGAGTGAGTGGGGGTCTGTGTGGGTGAGTGAGTGGGGGTCTGTGTAAGTGAGTGAGTGGGGGTCTGCGTGGGTGAGTGAGTGGAGGTCTGTGTGGGTGAGTGAGTGGGGGTCTGTGTGGGTGAGTGAGTGGGGGTCTGTGTGGGTGAGTGAGTGGGGGTCTGGATGAGTGAGTGGGGGTCTGTGTGGGTGAGTGAGTGGGGGTCTGTGTGAGTGAGTGGGGGTCTGTGTGGGTGAGTGAATGGGGGTCTGTGTGGGTGAGTGAGTGGGGGTCTGTGTGGTGACTGAGTGGGGGTCTGTGTGGGTAAGTGAGTGGGGGTCTGTGTGGGTGAGTGGGGGTCTGTGTGGGTGAGTGAGTGGGGGTCTGTGTGGGTGAATGAGTGGGGGTTTGTGTGTGAGTGAGTGGGGGTCTGTGTAGGTGAGTGAGTGGAGGTCTGTGTGGGTGAGTGAGTGAGGGTCTGTGTGGGTGAGTGAGTGGGGGTCTGTGTGGGTGAGTGAGTGGGGGTCTGTGTGGGTGAGTGAGTGAGTGAGTGGGGGTGTGTGTGGGTGAGTGAGTGCGGGTCTGGGTGAGTAAGTGAGTGAGTGGGGTTCTGTGTGGTGAGTGAATGGGGGTCTGTGTGGGTGAGTGAATGGGGGGTCTGTGTGGTGAGTGAGTGGGGGTCTGTGTGGGTGAGTGAGTGGGGGACTGTGTGGGTGAGTGAGTGGGGGTCTGTGTGAGTGAGTGGAGGTCTGTGTGGGTGAGTGAATGGGGGTCTGTGTGGGTGAGTGAGTGGGGTCTGTGTGGGTGAGTGAATGGGGGTCTGTGTGGTGAGTGAGTGGGGGTCTGTGTGGGTGAGTGAGTGGGGGTCTGTGTGGTGAGTGAGTGGGGGTCTGTGTGGGTTAGTGAGTGGGGGTCTGTGTAAGTGAGTGAGTGGGGGTCTGCGTGGGTGAGTGAGTGGAGGTCTGTGTGGGTGAGTGAGTGGGGGTCTGTGTGGGTGAGTGAGTGGGGGTCTGTGTGGGTGAGTGAGTGGGGGTCTGGATGAGTGAGTGGGGGTCTGTGTGGGTGAGTGAGTGGGGGTCTGTGTGAGTGAGTGGGGGTCTGTGTGGGTGAGTGAATGGGGGTCTGTGTGGGTGAGTGAGTGGGGGTCTGTGTGGTGACTGAGTGGGGGTCTGTGTGGGTGAGTGAGTGGGGGTCTGTGTGGGTGAGTGGGGGTCTGTGTGGGTGAGTGAGTGGGGGTCTGTGTGGGTGAGTGAGTGAGTGGGGGTCTGTGTGGGTGAATGAGTGGGGGTTTGTGTGTGAGTGAGTGGGGGTCTGTGTGGGTGAGTGAGTGGAGGTCTGTGTGGGTGAGTGAGTGAGGGTCTGTGTGGGTGAGTGAGTGGGGGTCTGTGTGGGTGAGTGGGGGTCTGGATGAGTGAGTGGGGGTCTGTCTGGGTGAGTGAGTGGGGGTCTGTGTGGGTGAGTGAGTGGGGGTCTGTGTGGGTGAGTGAGTGGGGGTCTGTGTGGGTGAGTGGGGGTCTGTGTGGGTGAGTGAGTGGGGGTCTGTATGAGTGAGTGGGGGTCTGTGTGGGTGAGTGAGTGGGCGTCTGTGTGGGTGAGTGAGTGAGTGGGCGGTCTGTGTGGGTGAGTGAGTGGAGGTCTGTCTGGGTGAGTGAGTGGAGGTCTGTGTGGGTGAGTGAGTGGGGGTCTGTGTGGGTGAGTGAGTGGGGGTCTGTGTGGGTGAGTGAGTGAGTGGGGGTGTGTGTGGGTGAGTGAGTGCGGGTCTGGGTGAGTAAGTGAGTGAGTGAGTGGGGGTCTGTGTGGGTGAGTGAGTGGGGGTCTGTGTGGGTGAGTGAGTGGGGGTCTGTGTGGGTGAGTGAGTGGGGGTCTGTGTGGGTGAGTGAGTGGGGGTCTGTGTGGGTGAGTAAGTGGGGGTCTGTGTGGTGAGTGAGTGGGGGTCTGTGTGGGTGAGTGAGTGGGGGTCTGTGTGGGTGAGTGAGTGGGGGTCTGTGTGGGTGAGTGAGTGGAGGTCTGTGTGGGTGAGTGAGTGGGGGTCTGTGTGGGTGAGTGAGTGGGGGTCTGTGTGGGTGAGTGAGTGGGGGTCTGGATGAGTGAGTGGGGGTCTGTGGGGGTGAGTGAGTGGGGGTCTGTGTGAGTGAGTGGGGGTCTGTGTGGGTGAGTGAATGGGAGTCTGTGTGGGTGAGTGAGTAGGGGTCTGTGTGGGTGAGTGAGTGGGGGTTTGTGTGTGAGTGAGTGGGGGTCTGTGTGGGTGAGTGAGTGGAGGTCTGTGTGGGTGAGTGAGCGTCTGTGTGGGTGAGTGAGTGGGGGTCTGGATGAGTGAGTGGGGGTCTGTGTGGGTGAGTGAGTGGGGGTCTGTGTGGGTGAGTGAGTGGGGGTCTGTGTGGGTGAGTGAGTGGGGGTCTGTGTGGGTGACTGGGGGTCTGTGTGGGTGAGTGAGTGGGGGTCTGTATGAGTGAGTGGGGGTCTGTGTGGGTGAGTGAGTGGGGGTCTGTGTGGGTGAGTGAGTGAGTGGGCGGTCTGTGTGGGTGAGTGAGTGGAGGTCTGTCTGGGTGAGTGAGTGGGGGTCTGTGTGGGTGAGTGAGTGGGGGTCTGTGTGGGTGAGTGAGTGGGGGTCTGTGTGGGTGAGTGAGTGAGTGAGTGGGGGTCTGTGTGGGTGAGTGAGTGGGGGTCTGGGTGAGTGAGTGAGTGAGTGTGGGTCTGTGTGGGTGAGTGAGTGGGGGTCTGTGTGGGTGAGTGAGTGGGGGTCTGTGTGGGTGAGTGGGGGTCTGTGTGGGTAAGTGAGTGGGGGTCTGTGTGCCGCAGCTGGCTCCGTGGGCTCCCTGGTGGGGGACCCGGCCGTGCTGCTCATTGTGGTGGGGGCTCTCACCTTCCTCCTCGCGTTCTGCGGCTGCGTGGGGGCCCTCAGGGAGAACACGTGCCTCCTGTACACGGTCAGCGCTCACCCGGACTCACCTCTAGACTCACCTATACACTAAATTATACACTCACCTGGTCTCCCGTGTCTCTCATGTCCCCCCGTCTCCCCCGTGTCTTCCCCTATCCCCCGTGTCTCCCGTGTCCCCGTGTTTATCCGTACCCCCCCCCCCCAACCCCTTGTCCCCGTGTCCCCCATGTCTCCAGTTCACAGGGACGCTCTGTGTGGTGTTCACGGCTCAGCTCGCCGCAGGGGTCATCGCCTTCATCTTTAAGACCAAGGTCAGTGAGGTCCCCCCTCGTAGCCAGCACCCCCCCCCCACCCCACCATAGCTCCCCCTTGCAACCCCCCCAAGTCACATATGCCCCCCCTCACATGCCCCCCCCCTGACGACCCCATAGCCTCCCCTGATGACCACCAAGTCACGTGCCCCCCGTGCTGAGTAGGTGCGATCGCGCGTCACCTCGCTGGTGCACGCCGCCATCCAGGAGTACCGGGGAGACCACGACCTGCAGAACGCCATCGACTACATGCAGAGAGAGGTGGGCCATCTGCATCGTCGTCATCATCTATGTCGTTATCATAATCCGCATCGTCATCTCCAGATATACTACATTCAGAGAGAGTTGGACCGCCACCTCCTCCACTTCCGCATCGTCGTCACCATTCGCATCGTCGTCACCATCCTCACCGTTACCATCATCCGCATCGTCATCTACAGATAGACTACATGCAGAGAGAGGTGGACTACAGATCATCATCACTTACACGACTGCAGCCTAACCTCATCGATATCACCACTTCCACTCACCGCATCTCCCCGCTTTCTGTCCCTCTCCCTCCCTACCCTTCTCTCCCCCCCAGTTCCTGTGCTGTGGGGCCCTGAGCCGCCTGGACTGGAATCGGAGCCGGTACTTCCAGTGCTCCGCGGACAACCCAAGCCCCGAGCGCTGTGGGGTCCCCTACTCGTGCTGCGTGCCCATCCAGGGGGAGGTGAGGGGGCTGCAGGGTGTGGGGGTCAGAGGGGGGACAGGGGGACGAAGGGGGCTCGGAGGTCACGTGGGGACACGCGTGGACCTCGGGAGTGGTGGTGATGTTGGTTCGGTAATGTAGTGTGGTGAGAACCTGGTGTGGGTGACCTCTGGTGGTGTGGGTGAGCTCTGGTGGTGTGGGTGACCTCTGGTGTGGGTGACTTCTGGTAGTGTGGGTGACTTGTGGTGTGGGTGACTTCTGGTGGTGTTGGTGACTTCTTGTGGTGTGGGTGACTGTTGTGGTGTGGGTGACCTCTGGTGGTGTGGATGACCTCTGGTGGTGTGCATGACCTCTGGTGGAGTGGGTGATCTCTGGTGGTGTGGGTACCTTCTTGTGGTGTGGGTGACCTCTGGTGGTGTGGGTGACCTCTGGTGATGTGGGTGACTTCTGGTAGTGTGGGTGACTTCTTGTAGTGTGGATGACTCCTTGTGGTGGGGATGATCTCTGGTGGTGTGGGTGATCACTGGTGGTGTGGGTAACTTCTTGTGGTGTGGGTGACCTCTGGTGTTGTGGATGACCTCTGGTGGTGTCGGTGACCTCTGGTCATGTGGGTGAGCTCTGGTGGTGTGGGTGACCCAGATAATGTGGCTAAGCCTGGTGGTGTGGCTAACCTCTGATAGTGTCGCTGCTTCACCTCCTGGTGGTGTGGCTGCCCCTTCTGGCTGCTGCTGACCCTGGTGGTGTGTGGTAGCTCAGGCTGTGTGCTTGAGCACCAGGGGTGATGTGGCTGAATCCCCACTTGCGATGTGGTCGTCCACCGGGTGGTATCGTTGTGCAGGTGGTGATGAACACCATGTGTGGCTATGGAGCCCAGTTGTTGCCGGACGGTAGCGGTGGTGGCGGCGGTGGTGGTGGGATCGGTGGTGGTGGCAGCGGTAATGGCGGTGTTGTGGCCAGAGCCCCGGTGTTCACCGAGGGGTGCCTGGGCCGCGTGGAGCGGTGGGTCGACTCCAACCTCCTGCTGCTGCTGGGCCTCGCGTTCGGTCTCGCCGTGCTGCAGGTACCTCGCCATCGCCGTGCTCGTCAGCAGCTCCGCTGCTCGAACCTTCTCCTCCTCTTGGTAGCAGGGTAGCAACGCCATCGGACCGACTGTGCCACAGGTTCAACGTCATCAGCAGCAGTGACATCGACATCAAAGTCATCAGCAGCATCGTCAATATTATTATCATTGTCGTCAACAGCAATGGCATCATCAGGATCCTTCTTCTTTGGTTCTTTCGGTAAAGTCACGTAGAATGAGAATAAAATAATAAAATAAAATAAGACAATAAAATTATCACGACGTTTCGGCCACAACACAAGTAGCCTTCATCAGGTGAAAGAACAGAACTGTCGAGACGACAGTGCTCCAATGAGCATTGTTAAGATTCGTAGCATCTTTTTAAGCTCGATGAGAGGTGTGAAACCTCTTGACAAAGGAGTTTAAGTATCAAAGCAGGATAATTTAGCTTTGAAATAGCTGAGGGATTAGCTTGTGACAGAAATAGCTATGTTAAAGTCAGAGTTTACCTATCAACAGAGGCATTTAGTATATGGACGCTAAAGGCCTCCAACTACCCAACTATCATACAGTAAACCGATGTGAAACGAACTAAGTCTATATTACATCAATATAATAAATGTACTTAATATATTCTTCAATAAGCTGGGCTATTAATCACAAAGCAACTGGGTATACACTACACTATATAATAAGTGTTTTTTAAGCTCGGTGAGAGGCATGAAACGTCTTGACAAAGGAGTTTACGTATCAAAGCAGAATTTAGCATTGAAATAGCTGAGGGATTAGCTTGTGACAGAAATAGCTGTGTTAGAGTCAAAGACACTACGAGCACTGTCGTCCCGACAGTTCTGTTCTTTCACCTGATGAAGGCTACTTGTGTTGTGGCCAAAACGTCGTGATTTTATTTTATTATTTTATTCTCATTCTACGTGACTTTACCGAAAGAACCAAAGAAGATGAATTCTTGCAGTCACGAAAGCTTAAAATCGAAATCATCAGGGTCGTTAGCAGAAGAATCATCGTCAGCAGAAGAAGCATCATCATCATCGTAGTCATTGTCATCGTCACTGTCACCAACATCACCATCAGCAGTATCATCAGCACCTCTTATATCGATCTGCCTTGTGTGCTGCCCCTTGGCTACAGCTCCTCCACACCGTCACTGCTCACCCCTTACGACTCTCGTATGTTCATCTCAGCCCCACCGCCTCCTGGTGCCCCACTCCCTCCTCGGGAGTCGATAAAAATCGACAGTGGTTGTCTTGTAGATGGACTAACCCCTTGCATAGGAATGTGTAATTTTCACCACTGGCTCTGGCAGGGCTATTATGATTGCACTATGTAACACAATTTTTGTTCCTGGGTAGTAAGTGTTATTTCGTAATTGCTTATGCCTAAGAAGTACAGAAAATTGATATTATTCCCCACAAACTTTGTTTTTGTGACCAGGACAGAGATATTTTTAAATGTCCCTATTTTCAATGAGAAAATGGAGGAATCTGTCTTTTCGTTCACATAAAGTCAGAAAAACAACATATATTTATACTAAAGTAATACAAAAATGAGTACAAAAGATTTAGAAGTGAGTAGTTTTTCGAGATTTACGATTATACTGTAAATCACTTTCACGGATCAGCCCCCAAATGTGGTCTCCCATCATGTTCTCGTTATATTGTCCTTGGTAGCGGCGTTCAAAGTCCAGTATATCCTGGTGGAAGCGCTCCCCTTGCTCCTCCGAGTACGCTCCCATGTTCTCCTTGAATTGATCAAGATGAGCATCAAGGATATGGACTTTGAGGGACATCCTACAGCCCATTGTGCCATAGTTCTTCACCAGAGTCTCAACCAGCTCCACATAGTTTTCGACCTTGTGATTGCCCAGGAAGCCACGAACCACTGTGATAAAGCTGTCCCAAGCCGCTTTATATTTACTAGTGAGATTCTTGGGGAATTCATTGCACTCCAGCATCTTCTTTATCTGTGGTCCGACGAAGACACTGGCGTTGACCTTTGCCTCAGACAGCGTAGGTAAGAAGTCTTGAAGGTACTTGAAGGCTGCCGACTCCTTATCTACAGCTCTGACAAATTGTTTCATAAGGCCCAATTTGATGTTCATTGGTGGCATCAGCACCTTCCGGGGGTCCACCACTTGACGTTGTTCCTCCCCACAGAGAACTCGGTCCGCTGTGGCCAGTCTCGCCTGTGGTAGTGCACCTTGGTGTCCCTGCTGTCCCAAAGGCAAAGATAGCAGGGAAACTTGGTAAAACCGCCTTGGAGACCCATCAGGAATTGCCACCATTTTGAAGTCTGACATTTACCTCCCAGCCGTACTCATCATACTTCAAGGCGTCCAGCAAGGTCTTGATGCTGTTGTAATCCTCTTTGAGGTGCACCGAGTGAGCCAGGCGAGAGATAGGTACTTGTTACCATTATGGAGCAGCACAGCTTTGAGGCTCCTGGATGAGCTGTCAATGAAGAGGCGCCACTCATTCTGGTTACAGGCAATTCCGATTGCCTCAAACAGACTGGTCACATTCTGGCAGAAGCAGAGCCCATCTTGACGGGTGAAGAAGCTGCAAAAAGGTTTGTGATGCTTCCTCTGATCTGCGACTTGCACACTTTCATCCAACAAGTTCCACTGCTTGAGCCTCGACATCAAAAGCTCGGCATTGGACTTGGTGAGACCAAGATCTCTGATCAAGTTGTTGAGGTCTTTTTGCTTGGGGTAGTATGGGTTTCTCTCCTCAGCTCCTCCTCTAAAATTGTCATCTGGAAATCTGACTTGCTGCTCTCTTCTAAAGATGTCTGTTATCTCTCTGGATGAGTTGGTACGAGGAGTTCATGGCAATGTGGCACCAGGGCAATAGATGAAGGAAGGTCCGGATACGTGATAGCAGGTGCAATCTCTGCAAACCTTCGGGCTACTATCAAAGGTTTGTTCATGAAGCCATCCAGATATATAAACATAGACATAACTTCAACCGAGAAGATGGATACAAATTAAGCAATCATTGGAAGGATGTTATTAACCAGGTAAAACCTTAACGGCTTTATGGTTTGCCTTCATATCTGCATCTCCAGTTTCTTCAGCCTCCCAGTCCCAGCCCCGCTCACTTCCTCACCCCCCCCCCCCCCCCCCAGCATTCCCTTGCTCGGCATTTTTCCGTACTCGCCCCTTATTCCCTCTTGCAGTGCTCCACTTCCCCTACCCCACACCCCCCTAATAACATCTCCAGTTTCTTCATCCTCCCACTCCAAGTCCTGCCCACTTCCCCCCTCCCCAGCATTCCCTTGCGCGTTTCCTAATCCCCTCCCCCTACCCCACACCCCCGCCCCCCGCTCTATCTCTCCTCTCTGGCTCCTCCCCCCTCTCTTGCCTATATTGCCTCTTGTTACAGCAGCCCTTTTGCCCACTTCAGCAATGGTTTATTGCTGTGGTTGTCCCACCTGATGACGGACGCTTGTGTTGCACCCGAAACGTCGTGATTTAATTTTATTTTTTATACCTACGTGACTTTACCGAAAGAACCAAAGAGTATAGGTACAGTCTTGCCAGTCCAACGTTTGGAAGGGTCCACCATGCAGAGGTAGCAGTTGCTTGAGTGGTCAGTGGGTTCCCGCCAAATTCTTGGGATAGCGAACTTCATGGCTCTCTTTTCCCCTCTGTACCATCCTACAAAAATACATTTATTTAACCATGACTAATGTGTAAGAGATTATCGCAACGTATTGCATATATGATATATATATATTTTTTCAATAACATTGAAAATTGTAAAACATTTTTTAATTAAAAACTTTTACAATTTTAAAAATGTTAACAAATTTTATAACAAAATTCCGAGCAACAATTGTCCATCTTACCTTCCAGAGTTTTTTTTTGCATTGCTCGCAGGTGAAATGAGGTGCCCAGGGTTTGGTTGATCCCGACAGGCATGCCAAAATATGCCTTGTAGGCCTCACACATCTTAGCAGATGCTTCCACAGAGTACTTTGTCGCTCTTGTCTTGATATATTGGCCGCAGACATCGCAAAATGCGTCTGCTTGCAGCCTCTTGATACCATCTCAGAAAAATGCAGATATGTATCCACTTAGGCAGCTGGAACTAAACTGAACTGGTGGGCTTAAGGCCCCTGTATTTATACTATTTATATTACTGGAAAGTTCCATAATGTTCTATAAGTCACTCCAAGTTTACTCAGCACTGAATCTATCTGGAATGTTCTGGAAAATAAGTAAATTTCAAAATATCACTGTCTTGGTCACAAAAGCAAAGTTTGTGGGGAATAATAGCCATTTTCTCTACTTTTGAGGCATAAGCAATTAGAAAATAACACTTACTACCCAGGAACAAAAAAATATAAAATTGTTACACAGTTTTATGCCCCCCGGCACTCTCCACTCCTTATTATGTTTCTTCTCACATCAAGAAACAACATTGACTCGTGGAACCACCCACTCACGCATTCAACCACTCACCCACCCATCCACCCATCCACTCACCACACTACAGTTCACCTCACTTCTCTTTCTGCATCTTCTCTTGCACTGCTCCACTCTGGACTTCCCTCCTCCTTCCATCATCATCGTCATCTCTTCCCCCCCCCCCCCCTCCAAGGTCTCACAATAACCTTGCTCAATGCAAGACACGTGTTCAGGCGCTCTTATATCATACAACTTGGATAGCATTGCTTGTTGTTGGCCGCTGGGCTTTTCGGGGCGTCGTGTCTCCCCGTGTCTCCCCGTCCCCCCTGAGTCCCCCTGTGTCTCCGCGTGTCCCATGTGTCTCCATGTGTTTTTCCGCATCTTCAAGTGTCTCCTCGTGCGCCCTGTGTCCTCAGCTCATCGGCATCAGCCTGGCTTGCGCGCTCATCGCCTACGTCAAGAGGCTGCAGCAGTTGCAGCAACTGCAGCAGCAACAGCTACAGCAGCAGCATCTGCAGCCGCAGGATATGAAGCTGATGATGGAGCAGGTGGACTTGTAGGTGACTCGTGCATCGCTCATCAGGGCGGTGACGCAGCCCAGTGGTAGTGCACTCGCCGCTTGTGGGCAAAGGGTTTACACGGTTTGAATCCAGCGGCCACCCCGGTTAATACTCTGGTGTGGTATTAACCATTCATAGGAAACACTCCACGCAAAATAACAGCTGCGATGGGGATCGAACCCAGGCCCTACTTGCTTATAACGCGCCAACCCGGCACCCACATGAAGCCATCACCGCACCTCACCACTACTAACGCGCTCTGTCCGCTCGAATCCCACAGCGAACTCCAAGATCCGCCCTGACGGCCTACCTGCACCATCTGGCCTTAGATTCGCATCGTCACCCACACACTCGAACAGAGACCATCCATAGAACTACCCTGACAGTCTCCCACACCGACAGACTCGTATAGGAACCTATAGACTTACAGAGAGACCCACAGACTTGCTATGTGTGTATAGCAGATATAGTGTACGTTGCGGTCATAGTCCCCTCCTGCGAAACATTTGTCAGAACCCTCCTGAAACAGTTTTGAGGATCGGTGAGACTGTGCTGGGTAAACGAGGGTCATAATACTTGAGTGTAAAGTTTATTTGATTCGTTACACGGATGATCAGGTTTCGCCAATTGCCCAGGTATGTTGCACGGGTGATCCGTGGTTCGTGAGAACAGTAGCAGGAGCAGCGAAGACAGAAGCATCGACATTGCAGACACGGGGGACACGGGGAATATTGTACCACTAACAAACGGGGCGCTTGACGGCCGCAAACGAAAGAGACAGCACACATACAATGAGAGCAGGACGCGCCAGACAACACGTTAGGTACGGGTACGAGTCAGCACCGCCGCCTTTTGGTTTAATCACGACATCATCGTCGTCGTCATGGTCTATCCACTGCCGGTTGAAGATCAATGCGGCGTTGTCTAACCCTGTGCACGTTCTCTAATTCAAGTGCTCCTGTTTCTCGGTGTAATCCCCAGCATGCTCCTCTCCAAGCGTTCTTTGTGAACGCTTTGACCGTCGCTCCATTCCCTTCGTCAGGGTCCGTGTCTCTCGCCCACACTTTGATTTCACGCGGAGGGTTTTTGTTAACGTCTGATGTTGTCTGCTGGCAACGTCAGCTGAACGTCGGACAACATTGTCAATATGTTGGTTTGGGCTTCTCAATATTCCTCCTCCTCCGTTGCTGATAAACCAAGTCGATTGGGGGGGCGTTTGCCCACGGCGGAACAACGCGATTAGATTGGCTGACTTACTGGGTGGTGGAGGGTTATGAAGACATTTGACTGCATACTCGACACGACACGACGAGGCGACACAAGCGCCAGTCACTTTGGAATTGCCTCCCATCATTGTATTAAACTCAACCACCCATACACCCGCTCATCCACCCACCCATCCACTCATCCCACCCATCCACTCATCCCACCCATCCACTCACTCACCCATCCACTCACTCATCCACCCATCCACTCACTCACTCACCCACCCATCCACTCACTCACCCACCCATCCACTCACCTCACCCAGCCATCCACTCACCCAACCATTTACTCATTAGACACAGGCTACACTCTTAATGATCTATTACAACTTTGATAGTGCTATTTGTTGCTGGTCATTTTGATGTTTCGGGGCTTTGGGCCTACTGTTCTCAGCAGCTGTGTAAAACTATACTCTATATGTGAATAAATAACTTTTGTGTTTTAGTGAATGCACCTCTTGGCTGTCCAGAGCGATAACAGCAGTAGCAGTCCCAGCAAGTTGCAGCAAGCAGCTCCGGACTGGTTTCAACCTTCTGAGGTCTTATCAGCAGAGTCAGGCTCGGGTCGGAAACCGGTAACCATTTGGAGAATATATTAAGTCTCGTCGTCGTTTACAGTGGAATGTTAATTAGGAGGTGGAACTTACCCACTCTTTACCCCACCACACACCGGGGAATCGAATTTAACCGGTTACCGGTTTTGCAAAAACACCTCGATTACTCTTTTGTTCTTTCGGTAAAGTTTCGTAGGTATAAAATAAAAAATACATTAAATTACGACGTTTCGGGTGCAACACAAGCGTCCGTCATCAGGTGGGACAACCACAGCAAGAAGCAACTGCTGAAATGGGCAACACATTCCTGCGGAGGGAGCTGGTAGGAACGTTGGGTTGCTCGGTCAATGGCCAGGGTCAACGGCGGCACCACGTGGTGTATTCCGCAAATATGCCCGACTGTGAGGGTGGGCACAAGCCGGCGTGAGTAGGTTAAACGTTGAGTACTCTTGGGTTTTTTCGGTAAAGTCACGTAGGTAAAAAATAAAATAAATGAAAACTAAATTAAATCACGACGTTTCGGAGGCAACACAGTCTTCCTTCATCAGGTGTAAAAAAGGGCACAGCAAAATAACTGTAGAGAGAGCTATTTGTGGTGATAGACTGTTATATAGGGTACTAGCGGGAAGTACCCGGCGTTGCCCGGGCGAAAATGTTATTTCAAAACTTATCTTAAAAACCTTACATCAGTGGTTCTTAACCTGGGTTCGATCGAACCCCAGGGGTTCGGTGAGTCGATCTCAGGGGTTCGACAGAGCCCCCGCCACGGAGGTCCGGACACACTTGAATTATTGTGTAAATTTGTGATGACACACACGGCCCGCTTGGCCATCACTGGCTGCAGATGATCATGCTACACTGCTTGGCCAATCAGCGCTGCGGGGAATTTAGTGCATACTCAGTAGTCAACGTGTGACTGTTGTTGTCGTACGTCGTGTGATTTCTTTAATATTTTATCCATACTAACTATGTCGGGCAAAAGAAGAAAGTGGTCGGACGAATATGTACAACATGGATTCTCATGTATCACGGAACGTGATGGGAGTGAGCGTCCTATCTGCATGATTTGCAACGCCAAGTTGAGCAACTCTAGTCTTGCACCGGCAAAACTAAAGGAACACTTCTTGAAGCTGCATGGAGACGGGGAATACAAGAACACAACACTTGCTGAATTCAGGGTGAAGAGAGCCAGATTCGATGAAAGGGCCACTCTGCCTGCTCTTGGATTTGTACCTGTTAACAAACCGATCCTGACAGCATCGTACGAAGTTGCTTACCTGATCGCAAAGCAGGGCAAGCCACACACCATTGGTGAAACACTTGTGAAACCAGCTGCATTAAAGATGGCGAATCTGATACTCGGAACAGCGGCCGAAGGTAAATTATCCCAAATTCCCCTTTCAAATGACACCGTCAGTGACAGAATAGAAGACATGAGTAAAGACATCTTGGCTCAAGTAGTCGCGGATCTGATTTCAAGCCCGGCAAAATTCAGCCTTCAACTCGACGAAACCACAGACGTTTCTGATCTAAGCCAGCTTGCTGTTTTTGTACGCTATGTGAAAGACGACATGATAAAAGAAGAGTTTTTATTTTGTAAGCCTCTTACAACAACAACGAAGGCAGCCGATGTGAAGAAGCTTGTGGATGACTTCTTCAGAGACAACAATCTTTCATGGGATATGGTTTCTGCAGTTTGTACGGACGGAGCTCCAGTCATGCTGGGAAGAAAGTCTGGTTTTGGTGCGCTAGTAAAGGCCGATGCACCACACATCATTGTGACGCATTGTATTCTGCACAGGCATGCGTTGGCAACAAAAACCTTACCTCCAAAAATGGCAGAAGTATTAAAAACTGTGGTGGAATGTGTGAACTATGTGCGAAAAAGTGCTCTGAGGCACCGCATCTTCAGTGAGCTGTGTAAAGAAATGGGCTCTGAATTTGAGGTACTTCTGCTCCATTCTAATATTCGGTGGTTATCCCGGGGACAGGTGCTGAATCGTGTTTTTGCCATGCGTGTGGAATTAGCCCTGTTTTTGCAAGAGCACCAACACTGCCATGCAGATTGCTTCAAAAATCCTGAGTTCATTCTCATTTTAGCGTACATGGCTGATATATTCGCAGCTCTCAATCATCTCAATCAGCAGATGCAGGGTGGTGGAGTCAATATCATGGAAGCGGAAGAACACCTGAAGGCTTTTCAAAAAAAGCTACCGTTATGGAAACGACGAACAGAGAACAATAACTTCGCAAACTTCCCGCTTCTGGACGACTGTGCAAGTAAGATCGAAGATGTGTCTGGAATCGGAGATATTTCTGTATCCACGGAACTGAAGCAAACAATTGCCACGCACTTAGATGAGCTTGCAAAGTCTCTCGACGGATATTTCCCTACAAGAGAGTCATATCCAGCATGGGTGAGACAGCCGTTCACGTTTGCTGTTGAAACAGCAGATGTCAATGATGAATTCCTCGACGAAATCATTGAAATTCAGCAGAGCCAGGTTCAACAGCAACTCTTCAGAACAACAACGCTCTCAACGTTTTGGTGTCGACAAATGAACAAGTATCCAGTTATTGCTAAGAAAGCCCTGGATTTTTTTTATACCATTTGTTACAACATATCTTTGTGAGCAATCCTTTTCGAGGATGCTGGACATAAAAACGAAGAAAAGGAACAGACTTTGCTGTGAAAATGACATGAGAGTGGCACTTGCCAAGGTGAAGCCACGCATATCTGAACTGATCTCTCAAAGGCAACAGCAGAAGTCACATTGATTTCCAGGTATGTAATTTGTTGTGAGTTTATGCATTGTGTTGGTTTTATTCTTTGAACAAGGTAATGTTCATGCACGGCTCATTTTGTGTACCAGTAAAAAACATATCTATGTCTTGAATTTGAAAAAAATCACATTTTATTTTTCACTAAAGAGGGGTTCGGTGAATGCGCATATGAAACTGGTGGGGTTCGGTACCTCCAACAAGGTTAAGAACCACTGCCTTACATATACATACACAGATACTAAGGTATTGTAAAAGCCCAGTGGGCCGTTTGTCCATTTCTCCACCAACAAAATTATAAGAGGCTTGCAAAAGTCCAAAAAGATATGGAAAGTGTGGGCTAAATAGTTGATGTAAAAGGTTTCCGAAAATTGTGGACCCCCCCTTAAAAAATATCTTTACCCCCACGTAAGTATATATACCTACACACTATCCATACAACAGAGTAAGTAGTATATATTGACTTTGTAGTTGTATCTACTGACTGTACAGTACTATCTACTGAGCCAGTAGTAGCTACTGACTGTGTAGTAGTATTTACTGGGCCTACAGTAGTATCTACCAACTCTATAGTAGTAACCACTAACTGTATAGTAGTAACTACTAACTCTATAGCAGTATCTACTCACTGTATAGTAGTATCTACTGACTCTTGTAGCTGCTCACCGTAGTAGTATGTACTGACTGTATACTGTCGCAGTATTGACTGACTGTAGTGGTATATACTGACTGTTTTAGTATCTACTAACTCTAAATAGCAGTATCTACCAACTCGATAGCAGTATCTCCTATCACTACAGCAGTGCATACCGACTGTGGTGGTACCTGCTTTCACTACAGCAGTGCATAATGACTGATCACTGTTACAACGCTGTGGGTTATCATGATATTGTTTTCTCCGATACCAAGGTACTCTGCAAGCCGTCTGGATACCACCAAAGATTTGTCCATGAAGCCATACAGATATACAAACATAGACATACCTTCAACCGAGAAGATGGATTCAAATTGAGCAATCATTGGAAAGATGTGATTAACCATGTTAAACCTAAACCGATACTCTCCCCCGCCCGCATCCCCACCCCCCCCATCCGTGGCTCCGATGTTCTTCTTTAGCTTTACCTTCCTGGCTCCACACCCCCCCCCCCCCCCATACTGCGCCCATCCTCCCTGGCTCCTCCCCCTCCTCTTACCCTATATAACAGTGTATCACCACAAATAGCTCTCTACAGTTATTTTGATGTGCCCTTTTTACACCTGATGAAGGAAGCTTGTGTTGCCTCCGAAACGTCGTGATTTAATTTAGTTTTCATTTTTTTTATTTTTTACCTACGTGACTTTACCGAAAAAAACAGAGTATGAATCCTTGCAGTCACGAAAGCTTCAAATCTAGAAATAAACGTTGAGTTTTATAAGGGCACCACGGGGTGACCAGCCCCTCCCCACCCAGCCCCACCCTCCCCACCTAGCCCCTCCCCACCCAGCCCCTCCCCACTCTTCCCACCCAGCCCCTCCCCACCCTCCCCACCCAGCCCCTCCCCACCCTCCCCACCCAGCCCCTCCCCACCCAGCCCCTCCCCACCCTCCCCACCCAGCCCCTCCCCACCCTCCCCACCCAGCCCCACTCTCCCCTCCCCACCCAGCCCCTCCCCACCCAGCCCCTCACCACCCTCCCCACCCAGCCCCTCACCACCCTCCCCTCCCCACCCAGCCCCTCTCCACCCTCCCCACCCTCCCCTCTCCACCCAGCCCCACCACGCCCATTTTTGGATGCACGACGGACGTCCACAATAATCCCCTATGGGCTGGTGTAACCAGGAGGTTCCTACCAGTAAAAGAGATGCTTGTATCACGAGGCTGTATAGGTAAGAGAGGGGGGGCGGAGCCAGGGAGGAGGACCGTATAGCCCCACAGATGACGTAAGGCGGTACGCAATTGAGCCCCATAAATGATAAATTTTGATTTAAAGCTTTCGTGACTGCAGGGATTCATATTCTTGGTTCTATCGGTAAAATCACGTAGAAGGGAAACAATAAAATAAAAATGTTTTCTATTTTTATTATTTTATTGTTTCCCTTCTACGTGACTTTACCGAAAGAACCAAGAACACATAAATTATGTTAGCGAATGACGTCACTCGTTGACAAGCCACGCCCCCCACGCGTTGCCAATTTCCGGCGCGACGCAAAAAGCTGGTTCAAGGGCGACGCGGTTCGATTCCACTTTGCGCTCCCTGCGAGACAATCGATTCCCGTAAAGTATAAAGTAAGGAATCGATAATCGGCGTTACGAATTACATGGAAGCAATCGATTCCTGCTGAGAAGCCGGCTTGCGATTTGCGGCGGATAACGTGGGAGGCGATGGCGGACGACGACGAGGAGGAGGTGGACGAGGGGACGAGATGGAGGCCCAAGCTCGTCCTTCACGTCGACCTCAACAACACCGTGGTGGTGGCCGATTCCGTGACGTCGCAGGGCCCAGAAGAGGCGCTCGCCAACTTCCTGCGCCTAAGGCTTGGTGAGGCCCGGCTTTCGCGAGGCGCCCGCGGTGGGCGTGGCCGCATAAATTATGTAAATTATGTTAATGTACGTTTCGGGCAACGGGCCTTCTCCGTAGTGGGTTTTAAGACGCAAGCTACTCGACCGGGATTACACGCACAGCAGCATCACGAATGGCAGAGTAGCGTTGTCAGGTCAGGTGCTGAGTGGCCATAGCTCATAGCTGTGAACCCCTTATTACAGACCAACTCAGAGCTTCTTAGTCACCCCGTGCCCTTGTACATCTCAACGTTCATCTGCAAAGTCCCATCACAAGGTACAAACAAATAAGCAACATAAATTGTTTTACCCAATTTCGCTGTACAGGAATACGGATAAACCGTATGGGTTGACGGTATACGAGTCCCCTCATGCCGCACGAGGACAGCTGCCGCTGGGGGTGCCCTTCTCGGGTTGCTATTACCCCAAACGTGCATCCTCGGTCAATTGAACCGTTGTGGGACGGATGACCCCAATGTGTTGGTCGTGTACCGCCTGCTGCGCCACGCGGTTCTTGAACTCCGCTGTGATCAAGCGGGGAGAGACGCACCCTGGAAGTGTCACCGAAAGACGGCCCCACTTGACTCATCCGAGACGTGGCTGTGGCCCCCACCTTCCCACCCCCCATCCCTAACAGAGGAGGGGGAACCCCTGAGCAGTGACCCCGTGGTGGCCCCCCTGCTGGAGGAGTGGGGGGCCCTGGGAGGCACGGAGGCCGTGGTGAGGAGCGCGGTTAAACGGCTGGAGTGGAATCACGGGGACGACCCCAAGCTTACCCTGCCCGGAGGTGCGGCGCTCACCCCTCCCGCTCACCGCTGCTGCTCACCCCTCCCGCTCACCCCTCCTGCTCACCCCTCCCGCTCACCGCTGCTGCTCACCCCTCCCGCTCACCCCTCCTGCTCACCCCTCCCGCTCACCACTGCTGCTCACCCCTCCCGCTCACCACTGCTGCTCACCCCTCCCGCTCACCACTGCTGCTCACCCCTCCCGCTCACCCCTCCTGCTCACCCCTCCCGCTCACCACTGCTGCTCACCCCTCCCGCTCACCCCTCCCGCGCACCACTGCTGCTCACCCCTCCCGCTCACCCCTGCTGCTCCCCCCCCGCTCAAGCCTGCTACACGCCCCTCCCGCTCACCACTGCTGCTCACCCCTCCCGCTCACCACTGCTGCTCACCCCTGCTGCTCCCCCCCGCTCAAGCCTGCTACACGCCCCTCCCGCTCACCCCTGACCTCAAATAATTTCCCCTGACCCCCTCCTGCTGTCCCTTAACCTCGTCTCCCACCGCTTGAACTTACCCGATGTGCCCCGACCGTGACCCCGTCCCCCTACGCCGCGGCCCTGACCCCTCGTCTCCCGCAGGCGGCGAGGGGGGGCCCCGCCGACCCCGCGGCCGCCTGTGCCACCTGCTGCTGCCCGGCTTCCTGGAGCTGCTGTGCTGGCTTGCGCGCTGGCGCCCAGGCTTCGGCCTGGTGCTGCGCACGTTCGGCACTGACCTTGAGGCGGCGCTGGGCGCAGTGCGGCGCGCCTTCGACGGACACCACCCGGACTTCCCCCAGCTCGCCCAGCGGCAGGTGTGCTCACACGTGGGGGTGGAAGGGGCTGACTCCTGAACTCTGACCTTTGACATACTTGCCCGATTCGTAGCCGCTGTAACCCGCTTGTTCTGCTGCCCCGTGTGCAGTGATTGAGTTCCCTTTGCCGTGAACGACGAATGCACGGCTCGAAGTCTACGACGCCGATGGTGACCTCGCCGACCCCCGAACTCGCCGACCTCGCCACGCTTCCTGACACCGCCCATCGTCCAGCCTCGACCTCCCTGACCTAGACCCCAGTCGTTGCCTCTATTCCAGACCTCCTTGACCTAGTTCAATCTGACCACAACCCTAAATTACCCAACCTCAATCCCGACCCCTGTGACCCCGACACTGTCCTCTTGTGACCCCAATACCTCCTACACCACAACCACCTTGACTCCTTGCCCTGACTCTTGCCACAGCTTATTGCCCCCCCCCCACCATTCCGTGCCCAAATCTGCCCGCATGCCCTCTTCCACCCCCCGTAGGTGGATGTGGCCGTGCAGGTGGGGAGCGTGTGCCCGGGCCCCCGCGGGGTGACTCTGAGCATGGAGGGGACGAGCGTGAATAGCTGGGAGGACGGGAGAGCTCCATACAGGGTCCTGTCGGCGCTCGTCGGCGTGCACGGACTGCAGGACGACTTCCGCTGGTACGCACTCCCCCACGCGCTCACCCGCACTCGCCAACACAGTCATTAGATTTGCTCGCTCACTCACCCGTGTACTCGCCAACTTGGCTCGCTCACTCGCCCATAACTCGCTTACCTGGGTATGCCCGCTCACTCGCCCCGTCGCTCGCCCATGTTCACGCTCGTCCACGTGCTTCTTTGCCCAAGCGCTGACTCAGCTGTCATCTACTCTCATATGGTCGCTCACTTACTGGCTCTCTGGCCTAAGTACTCACCGGCCTAAGTACTCACTCACTGACTCTCTGGTCTAAGGACTCACTCACCCAAAGAGTGCTCTCTTGGTTGCGGTCACAGCTGTGTTGTTGTTCTTGTCGTCCGGTCTGCAGACAAGATCCTTTTTGTGGTTATGGTCTCGGTTGTGATTGTAGTGGTGGAGGTGTTGGCTGTGGTTGTTGGTGGTAGTGATTGTGGTGATTGTGATTTTGGTGATTGTGATTGCAGTGGTGGTGATTGTGGTTGTGGATGCGGCGCAGGTGGGCAAGGCACGGCTTCACGAGCAAGGGGGGAAAGCCCCTGTGGGTGGACCCGTTTGACCCCAGCGTCCACCACATCTTCATCGACGACAACATCCGCCCCGATGACGGGAACACAATCGTCAACCCACAGGTGGACATCACCGTCACATTGCTACCATCACCAACAACAACAATATCAACATCACTCACACCATCAACAACAACATCAACATCACTCACACCATCAACAACAATATCAACATCACTCACTCACACCATCACTAACAACACGATCAACATCACTCACACCATCAACGACAACAACACGATCAACATCACTCAATCATACCATCAACAACAACAATATCAACATCACTCACTCACACCATCACCAACAACACGATCAACATCACTCACTCACACCATCACTAACAACACGATCAACATCACTCACTCACACCATCACCAACAACACGATCAACATCACTCACACCATCACTAACAACACGATCAACATCACTCACACCATCAACGACAACAACGCAATCAACATCACTCAATCATACCATCAACAACAACACGATCAACATCACTCACTCACACCATCACTAACAACACGATCAACATCACTCATTTACACCATCACTAACAACACGATCAACATCACTCACTCACACCATCACTAACAAAACGATCAACATCACTCACTCACACCATCACCAACAACACGATCAACATCACTCACTCACACCATCACCAACAACACGATCAACATCACTCACTCACACCATCACCAACAACACGATCAACATCACTCACTCACACCATCACAAACAACACGATCAACATCACTCACTCATACCATCACTAACAACACGATCAACATTACTCACTCACACCATCACCAACAACATGATCAACATCACTCACTCACACCATCACTAATAACACGATCAACATCACTCACTTACACCATCACTAATAACACGATCAACATCACTCACTCACACCATCACTAACAAAACGATCAACATCACTCACTCACACCATCACTAATAACACGATCAACATTACTCACACCATCACTGACAACACGATCAACATTACTCACTCACACCATCACCAACAACACGATCAACATCACTCACTCACACCATCACCAACAACACGATCAACATCACTCACTCACACCATCACTAACAAAACGATCAACATCACTCACTCACACCATCACCAACAACACGATCAACATCACTCACTCACACCATCACCAACAACACGATCAACATCACTCACTCACACCATCACCAACAACACGATCAACATCACTCACTCACACCATCACAAACAACACGATCAACATCACTCACTCATACCATCACTAACAACACGATCAACATTACTCACTCACACCATCACCAACAACATGATCAACATCACTCACTCACACCATCACTAATAACACGATCAACATCACTCACTCACACCATCACTAATAACACGATCAACATCACTCACTCACACCATCACTAACAAAACGATCAACATCACTCACTCACACCATCACTAATAACACGATCAACATTACTCACACCATCACTGACAACACGATCAACATTACTCACTCACACCATCACCAACAACACGATCAACATCACTCACTCACACCATCACCAACAACACGATCAACATCACTCACTCACACCATCACTAACAAAACGATCAACATCACTCACTCACACCATCACTAACAACACGATCAACATCACTCACTCACACCATCACCAACAACACGATCAACATCACTCACACCATCACTAACAACACGATCAACATCACTCACACCATCAACGACAACAACGCGATCAACATCACTCAATCATACCATCAACAACAACACGATCAACATCACTCACTCACACCATCACCAACAACACGATCAACATCACTCACTCACACCATCACTAACAACACGATCAACATCACTCACTTACACCATCACTAACAACACGATCAACATCACTCACTTACACCATCACTAACAACACGATCAACATCACTCACTCACACCATCACTAACAAAACGATCAACATCACTCACTCACACCATCACCAACAACACGATCAACATCACTCACTCACACCATCACAAACAACACGATCAACATCACTCACTCACACCATCACTAACAACACGATCAACATTACTCACTCACACCATCACCAACAACACGATCAACATCACTCACTCACACCATCACTAATAACACGATCAACATCACTCACACCATCACTAATAACACGATCAACATCACTCACTCACACCATCACTAACAAAACGATCAACATCACTCACTCACACCATCACTAATAACACGATCAACATTACTCACACCATCACTGACAACACGATCAACATTACTCACTCACACCATCACCAACAACACGATCAACATCACTCACTCACACCATCACCAACAACACGATCAACATCACTCACTCACACCATCACTAACAAAACGATCAACATCACTCACTCACACCATCACTAATAACACGATCAACATTACTCACACCATCACTGACAACACGATCAACATTACTCACTCACACCATCACCAACAACACGATCAAATCACTCACTCACACCATCACTAATAACACGATCAACATTACTCACACCATCACTGACAACACGATCAACATTACTCACTCACACCATCACCAACAACACGATCAACATCACTCACTCACACCATCACCAACAACACGATCAACATCACTCACTCACATCATCACCAACAACACGATCAACATCACTCACTCACACCATCACCAACAACACGATCAACATCACTCACTCACACCATCAACAACAACACGATCAACATCACTCACTCACACCATCACCAACAACACGATCAACATCACTCACACCATCACCAACAACACGATCAACATTACTCATTCACACCATCACCAACAACACGATCAACATCACTCGCACCATCACCAACAACACGATCAACATCACTCACACCATCACTAACAACACGATCAACATCACTCACACCATCACTAACAACACGATCAACATCACTCACTCACACCATCACTAATAACACGATCAACATCACTCACTCACACCATCACCAACAAATCGATCAACATCACTCACTCATACCATCACCAACAACACGATCAACATCACTCACTCACACCATCACCAACAACACGATCAACATCACTCGTACCATCACTAACAACACGATCAACATCACTCACTCACACCATCAACGACAACACGATCAACATCACTCACACCATCACTAACAACACGATCAACATCACTCACTCACACCATCACTAATAACACGATCAACATCACTCACTCATACCATCACTAACAACACCATCAACATCACTCGCTCACACCATCACTAACGACACGATCAACATCACTCACTCACACCATCACTAATAACACGATCAACATCACTCACTCACACCATCACCAAGAACACGATCAACATCACTCACTCACACCATCCACAACAATATACATGGGTGCGTTCTTGCACGCTTTCCCTTGTACATTTGTCTGTGTATGTGTGTGCGCGTGTGTATACATGCGCGCACGCATCTTTGTGTACACGTTCGTGTTTGTTTGCACGTGTACACGTGTGTGGAGAGCGGTGGCTGGGTCTCCCCTAGGTCGACTCAGCATCAAATGGGTACCTGGTTCCCTGCGTGTAAACATCAGCGCGGGTGGAGACAAAGGCGACCACATTTCTACCGTCGCGTGCCGTGCTGGCCTTTCTAGGCGCCGCTCGTGAGCAACTCTCATTATCCCGGACGATCCGTTGAACGTGACGCGGTGGGGGGGGGGGGGTGGTTTTTTTCCCTTTGTGTGCGGGCACCGTGCAGGTGTTTGCAGGGCCCGGCAGCGCACGCTGCGCCCCGGTGCCCACCGCCTCGCTCCTCGGCGTCTGCCTGGTGCGCACCGACCTGCTGGCCGCCATCGTGGACCGCACCTGGTTCGTGCGGAGCGTGGAGGCCTGCGAGCGTGCCTACGCTCGCTCCCTCCAGGCCCGGGGGGGCCCTGCACCCCCCATGACGACAGGGTGCCCGCTACTCCCCTACTCGCGGGGCACCCCCCCCGTGGCGGATGAGGAAGAGCGTGTGCGCGACTGCGCTAGGGGCCCAGTTTGACCCAGCGGGCGCGGGTGGAGGGGGGGACGCGGCAGAAGCATCCACGCAGGGCGTGCGGTGGCGTGCGGAGTTCGTGGCGTGAGTGCGGTGAGTGGGGTGAGAGTGGTGAGTAAGATGATTGTGGTGAGTGCAGTGGGTGGTGAGTGCAGTATGTTGAGTGGTGCGAGTGGGATGATTGTGGTGAGTGCGGTGAGTGGTCTGATTACGGTGGAGAGTTAGTTACCCGAGGCGCCTCTGTTGTAATTTATTAAATCTCCAAATGTAGTGACTGTGTCTGGACTCTCTTACCTTGTAGCGGTGTTCGAGGCTGTGTGGATTCCAGGACACTCACCCGGGCGACACTCTCCCGGGCGACACTCTCCCGGGCGACAGCAACTACCGCCCTTCGCCACTAAGTGGCGACAGTGTCCCACCGGCGATTTGTGAACAGGGGAACTGCGCTTGCGACTCCCGGCCGCGCAGCTTCACCCAGGCGTGCGCAACCATCGCATCGTGCCCCTTGATGGCATCATAGGTCTTGACCAAGTCTACAGAGAAAAGATGTAGATCCTGTTGAAAGTCCCTCACACCTTTGAGCCACGGCTGCGATAAGCCTCTTCTTTCTCTGACAAAGACAAAAATCCCCGGTTTAGCCTCAACAGACTGTAGGGGCAAGTGATGTTTGCGAGCACCTATTAAGGCCAGCATGGCACACGAGGGGGTGGGTTTCCAGCACCACGCCCGGCCGCCTTTGTCTCCATCGCGGCAATGCTTGCTACACACTGCACCAAATTCTCATTTGAGACTGAGTCGACCGAGAGGAGGCCCAGGACTGGTTCAGGTAATCGTCACTGGTGTTGGTAACTGTGAGCGAGAATCGAAATCAAATTGCCGGATTCGCAGCGCACGAACCGCTATGCTACCGCTCTCCAATTTCATTCTGACACACGCACACACCTTCCAGGTGGGTCAGTGGGTTCATAATGGCCGTGTCGGAGACAGCTGGCACTGCTGAGGTCATGAGTTCAAATCCGGGTTTCGCTCGCCTATGGCGAGACCCGGTTCTGGAGTTCACCGAGTCGATGGACCCAGCCTCGTCACGAACCCCCCCCCACCCCCACCGGTGGTTCTGCTGTGATCGTCCAGCACTGTGGAGGCAGCAGCGAGGGTTGATGGATCACCGCACGGATGTTGTGAAACTCCCCGTGGGTGGGCGTTGTGAATCCATATCCGAGCTCGCCAGGAAAAGGTGGTACAGCAAGTGGACTAATCGCCATCCGTTTCCATCTGTACGGGGATATAGTGTTATCCCTCACACGTGGGGTTTTTTGCGGTAGCTCTGGTTTCCTCATATATGTAGTGGAGTAGGAAGGTGCGTAGTACAAACAGCGTGATTACATGATCACACAGACAGTACGGGTTATCTTGGGTCAGCCTGTTGTGAAGGCAAAGTCATTCGGGTTCATGTTGGGTCAGCCTGTAACGAAGGCAAATACAGTGCAGGTTATGTTAGGGCAATTAAGCTGGGAGAGCCAAGGACGGCTGTGATTGGTTGGTGCTGTTGCCAGGGCCGGAGGGGCTTCTGGAAGTCTGGCGAGAAACAGGTGTACGGTCACGCGGAGTGCCGTTGAGACGCAGGTTAATTAATTGAGGGTGTAATGAAAGCGGGTATAAGAGCGGGAGTCGGAGTCAACAGAGGGGGTGGAAGTTGGAGTTTGGAGAGCTTGGAGTCAACAGGGGGAATTGAAGTGTGGAGAGTTTGAGACAGTTTGGAATACAGAGTTTGAGAGACAGAGTTTGGAAGACAGAGTGGAAGGGAGACGGAGCTTGGAGACAGCGTAGCGATAGCGAAGCTGAACAAAGACGAAGTAGTTAGTGGTGGAGAGAGCGTAGCGATAGCGGAGCTGAAGACGAGAATAGCCCGCAGTGGAGAGAGCGTAGCGATAGCGGAGCTGGAGACAAGAATAGCCAGCAGCGGAGAGAGCGTATCGATAGCGGAGCTGAAGACAAGAACAGCCAGCAGTGGAGTGAGCACAGTGACGGTGATAGCGGTGAACAGGGATGAAGCAGTTAGCAGCGGAGTGAGCATAGTGACGTGATAGCGGTGAACAAAGACGAAGAAGTTAGCAGTGGAGAGAACAGTGACGGTGATAGCGGAGAGCGTAGACGAAGAAGTAGCGGCAGAGTAAGCGAAGTAATCGTGGGGAGTAAGCGAAGTAATCGTGGGGAGTGGAGAGACAAAGGTGGCGAGTGAGTCGAGTGAAGCGAGCCGTGGCGACCTGGATACTGTGGAATGTGGAGGACATGCTGAGAGTTGTAAATAAAGCGGTGTTCGGAGAAAGACAAGTTGTCCGAGTGAAATCGAACACTACATATGTAGTGGAGTAGAAGATACACATAGGTAAATTGGCCATATACAGTACATACAAACAGTGTGGGTCATGTAAGGTCGGGCAGGTGATGAAGTCACGGGTGGCGTAAGCAAGCCAAAGTAATTAAGGGAGTCAAGGGACGAGGGCTGTGATTGGTCGAGAGGCTGTTAGCATTAAGTGGCGGCGTCACGGAGTCTGGACCGTTGGACTGTTGCGGAGCTGGCGGGAAAATGCCAGCGAGGCACGTGGCAATTAATTAAGGCTGATTGGAAAGGGGATAAAAACGCTAGGTGATTTGGACGGCGAGAGAGTTGTTGGCGAGAAGTGGAGACAGCAGCGGGTAGAGAAAGATGCGAAGAGGGAAGCCGGCAACTGTTAGTGGGAAATAGATTGAGAGCCGAACCCAGAGGACAATAAATAGCGATAGCGTTAGCAGAGTGGAGATTACGGTATAGGTAGGTACAGGAAGAGTTAGCGATAGATAAGTCACTGCGTGTGAAGAGATAGACGAGTCACTGTGTGTGAGGAGATAGAGATCGAACCACTGTGTGTGCGTGGAGAGAAGAAGAGACTGTGTGGGGAGACAAGGAGTATGAGCGGACGGTGCTGAGGGGAATTCGAGTGTTCGAGTTGGCGGAGCGCGGAGAGGAGAAATTATATAGTGTGTGTGTGCGGAACGATGGAAATAAAAGCGACGGTGGAAGAAAGGCGATTGTCGTCTGAGTGAATCCAAGGCACTACACATATATAGAGAACCGCAGAGCTTGATGGGAGGGGGGGATTTCACGCTGGCTCGGCTGCTGCTGCCTTCCGGCTTCTCGTCTGTGGTTCCTCCTGGGTTGGGCGGCGCACACTTGTGCGTCGCGCCCTACCCCTGTGGTGGCTGTCAGCCAGCTGAGATGGGAGGAGGGTGACGCGGAGCGTGGGGGCATGGATGACGTGAGGGGTGAGTGGACTGGCGGTTGGCGGATGTTGCCACTTCACTGCTCCGCTGGTTGCTGACTCAGGAACGCGTCTCCTGGCAGCAGGACTCGTGTTGCTTGTAACCTGTGGGAGGTAATTCATTTGGTTAAATAAAGGGTAATACTTAACCCCCCCCCCCCTCCCTTACGCACGTCCATCCGGGATGTGCCATACCTCGGAAGCTAAGCAGGTTTCAGCCTGGACAGCGCTTGACAGGGGTGACATAGAGAGGTGTGGTTGGGGATTGCGGGCAGCAGAGGGACAGGGCTAGTGAAGTATGATCAACGGTTCCTCGCTGCCCCCCAAGGCGGGAGGGGAGAGGTGCCCAGTCCAGCAGTGGATTGACAGCAGATTGACAGTGGGAGAGCAGTGCACGGGACTTGCAATCGAGAGATCGACGGATTAGTTCGATCTCCCGGCGCGGCAGTTGAAATAATGGGGGCGATTTTATTTAACTCCCCCCCCCCCCCACCTTTGTCCATAAAGCATGATACAGCGCACGGGTGTGCACGGGTGTACTGTGTACACCATGCATAGTATGTGATTGGCAGGTTGCGTGAGTAAATAGTGGATAGCTCCCACCTCTTTTTTTCCCGAGACGTCTGGCCAAGACTTGGAAGAGTAGGACAAACATACCCTTTACGAGAGGGTCTCTATCTCTCTCCAGAGCGACGCCCCTAGTGGAGGAATCTTCAGTCAACAGTGGCGCGGACGGGCAGATGCAGAGCTGCGCCTTTATCAGCTCGTACATGGATTTGAGTGAAGCCCCCCACCTTCCGCCCCCCACGACCCCCCCCCACAACCACTCCCTCATTTCTCAGCCTTGGTCACGTAACGGCCTTGACGACACCCAGCGTTGTGTCACGGAGACGACACAACGCAGTTGTGTAAAGCATGACAAGACATGTGTCGGCCGCGCACCACGCACCATGCCAAGCCGCTTACGGGAAATGCCCCATCATCATCATCACCACCGCTCAGTGATGGCATCAGGACTCGCGGATGTTACCTCATCAACCCGTGGCATCTGCACCAACATAACTACATCGCCCTTTTGAACCGATTTAAACGTTCTAGAAATCATCAGCAGGGGTGTAGCCTCTTAAGACAAATGCCATAACGCCGGGCTAGGCCGTGGTGTTATTCGCGAGTGCTCTCTGTCTCTCTCCCTGTCTCTCTGAAACACTCTGGGGCCATAATAGAAGTTTTTGGGTAAGATCGCGTAAATATATAAATGTGTCATTAAACCCGCCACCACCCGACACAGCCAACTAGTAAGGGTTGTCACGTAAACAGAACGTGGCCAATTCGTCACTAGTACAGCACACCGGTGTGTTGGAGAGCCAAGCCACAACATTTACAAACTGAGTACGACATTTTGCCAGTATTTACAACCTTGGGGCCACCCATTGATCTCAGTGCAGCAAGGTACGGGATAACATGCAGATAGAAACATGGTGGATTGTGGGGTGATGGACCCGTATTCATCATCAAGTCGTGTACATCGGAACTGGCACCGTCACTATTTAACATTTATAACGTGACCTGCCACGTACATCATCTCACAAATCCGTAATGCAGGTGACATAGCCCTTGCTGCAAAGGGCACCAACCTCGAGAACATTGCCAATGCGCTAACAGCTGATCTCACTTTACTGGAGGCATCTTTCCGACGCTGGAGACTGATCAAATCTTTCCAAAACCACCGCAAGCGCCCTTCCACGTGAACAACTGTGCAGCAAATGCCACCCTTAATGTGTCCTCTGGTAGCCCAGTGCTCCCAGGCGATCTAGCGGTTATCATGGATCGAAGCCTGACCTTTAAACCCCATATAAAACATTTATGGTAAGACTAAATCCAGAGTCGGCCTGCTACAGAAGCTTGCAGGAACGACCCTGGGGGCGCCTCAGCTGATGGACTGCGAACTGCTGCTCCATACTGGTCCAGGAGCTCGTACGCAAAAAAAACGCGAGATGCACGATTACGTAACGCTCTGCGCATCACAACCGCGAACACTGAGACCAACATCAATCCCCTGGCTCCCCGTTCTGGCGAACATTCTGCCAATATCGGCGGGGACATGGCGCAAACTGCGAGGGAGTTGACAGGTTTTCTTGCTAACGACAACCACCACCTGCAACAATCCTCAACCAAGACCTCAACATTAAACCTCGCCGCGAACGACTCACGTCCCGAACGCCCTTCTGGGAGCGCGCTGTTGCGGTGACCATCTTGGAATCTCACCCAGGTCCAAACCAATCGTAATCAGAATATGTGTTTATGTTGGAGGAATCCGATGAGCTATAAACTTCTTTTTCACAGATGTCCAGTCGGGGCGGGTCAGAACGCTAAAACAACAAATAGTACAAAAACACATTTAGGAGTGCAAAGTACAAGAAACATAAACAAATCACTCAACACATACAAGTAAAAATGAACCATCTTCATCCTACCAGGCATAGCCCACTGAGGTATTGACTTATTTTTCAAAAGCGACCTCGCCACTAATGATAGCTCAACAATATGGTTTATCATTTTGACATTTATAGCAGAAAAATAATGTAAATTGTCTAAACGCATGGTTCAATCGCTAGCGAACCGCCTGAAACCACGGGGACGTCCAGAATAAACACCTCATTGTAGACACAACCACCGCACACGCTCCTGACTTTGACATTCCACCTTCTCCTCGAACACACTGGTGATGCAACCATCAACCACATTAGAACATCATCACCAGGCCTATGCGGCACCGCACCCCCTTCAACAACAACATCACTCACTCACACCATCACTAACAACACCAGCAACATCACTCACTCACACCATCACCAACAACACGATTAACATCACTCACTCACACCATCACCAACAATATACACGGGTGCGCTCTTGCACGCTTTCCCTTGTACATTTGTCTGTGTATGTGTGTGCGCGTGTGTATACATGCGCGCACGCATCTTTGTGTGCACGTTCGTGTTTGTTTGCACGTGTACACGTGTGTGGAGAGCGGTGGCGCAGCAGTTAGCGCACTGCACTTCGAAACTGGCGACCCGGGGTCCATTCCCGCTCACGGCCAACACTGGTCACGTATATCTGGTCTAGTGCTGGGTCTCCCCTAGGTCGACTCGGCATCAAATGGGTACCCGGTTCCCTGCGTGTAAACATCAGCGCGGGTGGAGACAAAGGCGACCACATTTCCACCGTCGCGTGCCGTGCTGGCCTTTCTAGGCGCCGCTCGTGAGCAGCTCTCATTATCCCGGACGATCCGTTGAACGCGACGCGGTGGGGGGGGGGGGGGTTTCCCTTTGTGTGCGGGCACCGTGCAGGTGTTTGCAGGGCCCGGCAGCGCACGCTGCCCCCGGTGCCCACCGCCTCGCTCCTCGGCGTCTGCCTGGTGCGCACCGACCTGCTGGCCGCCATCGTGGACCGCACCTGGTTCGTGCGGAGCGTGGAGGCCTGCGAGCGTGGCTACGCTCGCAGGCCTCCAGGCCCGGGGGGGGCCCTGCGCCCCCCATGACGACAGGGTGCCCGCTACTCCCCTACTCGCGGGGCACCCCCCCTGTGGCGGATGAGGAAGAGCGTGTGCGCGACTGCGCTAGGGGCCCAGTTTGATCCAGAGGGCGCGGGTGGAGGGGGGGACGCGGCAGAAGCATCCACGCAGGGCGTGCGGTGGCGTGCGGAGTTCGTGGCGTGAGTGCGGTGAGTGGGGTGAGATTGGTGAGTAAGATGATTGTGGTGAGTGCAGTGGGTGGTGTCAGTGCAGTGAGTATGTTGTGGTGTGACTGGGATGATTGTGGTGAGTGGTCTGATTACGGTGGAGAGTTACAGTTACCCGAGGCGCCTCTGTTGTAATTTATTAAATCTCCAAATGTAGTGACTGTGTCTGGACTCCTCTCTTACCTTGTGGCGGTGTTCGAGGCTGTGTGGATTCCAGGACACTCTCCCGGGCGACACTCTCCCAGGCGACACTCTCCCGGGCGACAGCAACTACCGCCCTTCGCCCCTAAGTGGCGACAGTGTCCCACCGGCGATTTGTGAACAGGGGAACTGCGCTTGCGACTCCCGGCCGCGCAGCTTCAACCAGGCGTGCGCAACCATCGCATCGTGCCCCTTGATGGCATCATAGGTCTTGACCAAGTCTACAGAGAAAAGATGTAGATCCTGTTGAAAGTCCCTCACACCTTTGAGCCACGAATTGCCGGATTCGCAGCGCACGAACCGCTACGCTACCGCTCTCCAATTTCATTCTGACACACGCACACACCTTCCAGGTGGGTCAGTGGGTTCATAATGGCCCTGTCGGAGACAGCTGGCACTGTTGAGGTCATGAGTTCAAATCCGGGTTTTACTCGCCTGTGGCGAGACCCGGTTCTGGAGTTCACCGAGTCGATGGACCCAGCCTCGTCATGAACCCCCCCCCCCCCCGCCGGTGGTTCTGCTGTGATCATCCAGCACTGTGGAGGCAGCAGCGAGGGTTGATGGATCACCGCACGGATGTTGTTGTGAAACTCCCCGTGGGTGGGCGTTGTGAATCTGTGGGGGCTACCGTCCCCCGCCATCACCGAATTGTCGGGGCCGTTGCTCTCCGACTCCCCCGTTCTATTCATACCACTACCCCCCGGCTGCTCTGTCGGGTCCGGGCTACCGACCCCCAATCCCTCGCCCCCCTGTGCCCCTGACTGTGTTGTCGACCGCGTACGTATGTTTCACTCGATGCGGCCGCCTGCTTTACGCTTACGACGCGCTACGCTGTTCAGTGGCGGCGTGCCGCGGTGAGCGCGCTCGCAAAGTAAAACCCCGTCCCGCACATGAACAGGTGCGGCGCGCCGACGCGCGATTCCCTCACACACACGCTCCACGCGCCCAGGCAATAACACACCCGACGCCGCTACCTGCCAGCTCCGTACCCCAATCACACGCGAGGTAGTGGGGGGGGGGTCGCTCCGATTTAAAGGGCCGTTTAAACAGCCGCGCGAATACGCGCACGCCAGGCGCTTCGCTATCTCGCTATTAGACAATCGCGCAGGCGCGCGACCGCAACACAGTCACACCGGCACGCGAGCGCTAAGCACTACTGTAAGCAATCGCACAGGTACGCGAGCGCTAAATACCACCAAAAACAGTCGCGTAGGCATGCGCACGCTGAACACTCCGCCTCGGGGTAAACCCCGTACGCACGCGAACACCCAGCACGCTCTACCCTCCTCTTCACACTCCCAAAGACCACACGACACAGTTTATCCCCCTACTAGTGATTTTATTTACCGCGAGTAACCCGTTAAGCTACGCGTAATTGTGTGGGTCAGTGGGTGCCAGCCTATTCCCCCTGGGATCCGAGACTGAATTTACTCTGCCTGTCGCTCCACTCTCGATTAAATCACTCAAACTCACTTCTCTCTCACTTGCACTTACTTCCACTCTGCAGCGCTGAACGCTGGCTGCGCTGGAGCTCGTCACACGGACGTCTCGAACGGCTGACTCTCCTGCTCCGTGGACCGCGATGATTTGAAGAACACTGGTCCCGCTACCCTAAGCCTCCGCGTTTTTATCCACCCTAAAGACATTCAGATGCTTCCGCACCCGTGCCTGCCCATTCAGAGGCCAAGTTATTCTCGTCTCTTTTATATTCGGATCCGTGACCTTACCTAGAACAAAAGGCATTCAGATGCTTCCGCACCCGTGCCTGCCCTGTCCATTCAGAGGTCGAGTTATTCTCGTCTCTTTCACATTCGGATCTGTAATCTTACCTGTAAAAAAAGCGTCCCGCTGCTTCCACCCCCCGTGCTGCCTTGTCCATTCAGATTTCGGAATGCTCCTGTCCCGTTGTTATTGGGGTCCCTAATGCTACCTATAACAAAGGCGTATCGCTGTTCCCACGCCCCGTGCCATGTGTGTGTGATCTCATCCGTGGTGGCTTTACAGCCCCCTGCCGTGGCTATATAATTATAATATCAGGCCACGGCGCCGCGGTGCTGGTCAGCCTCGGAGGTAGGTCGCCCAATTCCCCGGCCGCAGGAAGCCATGAAGCTCGATCACATTAGGAGCTTCTGGACGAAAACCTGTTGGCCAGGTGACCCACCCCGCAGGCCCTATTTGGGGCATGCGTGTGCGGGGTGTGTGTGTATTCATGCGGGGAGGGGGCGGCAAGGGCGCGCAGCGGCGGCGTCGTTACTCCCCGGTGGCGGCGTCGCAGCGGTGGGCACGGCCCCGACGGAGCGGCTCCACTGCAGTGGCACCACAAATCCATACCCTAGCTCGCCAGGAAAAGGTGGTACAGCAAGTGGACTAATCGCCATCTGTTTCCATCTGTACGGGAATATAGTGTTATCCCTCTCACACGTGGGTTTTTTTGCGGTAGCTCTGGTTTCCTCATATATAGAGAACTGCAGAGCTTGATGGGAGGGGGGGATTTCGCGCTGGCTCGGCTGCTGCTGCCTTCCGGCTTCTCGTCTGTGGTTCCTCCTGGGTTGGGCGGCGCACACCTGTGCGTCGCGCCCTACCCCTGTGGTGGCTGTCAGCCAGGTGAGATGGGAGGAGGGTGACGTGGAGCGTGGGGGCATGGGTGACATGGGGGGTGAGTGGATTGGCGGTTGGCGGATGTTGCCACTTCACTGCTCCGCTGGTTGCTGACTCAGGAACGCGTCCCCTGGCAGCAGGACTCGTGTTGCTTGTAACCTGTGGGAGGTAATTCATTTGGTTAAACAAAGGGTAATACTTAACCCCCCCCCCCCTTACTTGTCCATAAAGCATGATACAGCGCACGGGTGTGCACGGGTGTACTGTGTACACCATGCATAGTATGTGATTGGCAGGTTGCGTGAGTAAATAGTGGATAGCTCCCACCTCTTTTTTTCTGAGACGTCTGGCCAAGACTTGGAAGAGTAGGACAAACATACCCTTTACGAGAGGGTCTCTATCTCTCTCCAGAGCGACGCCCCTAGTGGAGGAATCTTCAGTCAACAGTGGCGCGGGCGGGCAGATGCAGACCTGCGCCTTTATCAGCTCGTACATGGATTTGAGTGAAGCCCCCTGCCTTCCGCCCCCCACGACCCCCCCCCCCCCCACAAACACTCCCTCATTTCTCAGCCTTGGTCACGTAACGGCCTTGACGACACCCAGCGTTGTGTCACGGAGATGACACAACGCAGTTGTGTAAAGCATGACAAGACATGTCGGCCACGCACCACGCACCACGCACCATGCCAAGCCGCTTACGGGAAATGCCCCATCATCATCATCACCACCGCTCAGTGATGGCATCAGGACTCGCGGATGTTACCTCATCAACCCGTGGCATCTGCACCAACATAACTACATCGCCCTTTTGAACCGATTTAAACGTTCTAGAAATCATCAGCAGGGGTGTAGCCTCTTAAGACAAATGCCATAACGCCGGGCTAGGCCGTGGTGTTATTCGCGAGTGCTCTCTGTCTCTCTCCCTGTCTCTCTGAAACACTCTGGGGCCATAATAGAAGTTTTTGGGTAAGATCGCGTAAATGTATAAATGTGTCATTAAACCCGCCACCACCCGACACAGCCAACTAGTAAGGGTTGTCACGTAAACAGAACGTGGCCAATTCGTCACTAGTACAGCACACCGGTGTGTTGGAGAGCCAAGCCACAACATTTACAAACTGAGTACGACGTTTTGCCAGTATTTACAACCTTGGGGCCACCCATTGATCTCAGTGCAGCAAGGTACGGGATAACATGCAGATAGAAACATGGTGGATTGTGGGGTGATGGACCCGTATTCATCATCAAGTCGTGTACATCGGAACTGGCACCGTCACTATTTAACATTTATAACGTGACCTGCCACGTACATCATCTCACAAGTCCGTAATGCAGGTGACATAGCCCTTGCTGCAAAGGGCACCAACCTCGAGAACATTGCCAATGCGCTAACAGCTGATCTCACTTTACTGGAGGCATCTTTCTGACCCTGGAGACTGATCAAATCTTTCCAAAACCACCGCAAGCGCCCTTCCACGTGAACAACTGTGCAGCAAATGCCACCCTTAATGTGTCCTCTGGTAGCCCAGTGCTCCCAGGCGATCTAGCGGTTATCATGGATCGGAGCCTGACCTTTAAACCCCATATAAAACATTTATGGTAAGACTAAATCCAGAGTCGGCCTGCTACAGAAGCTTGCAGGAACGACCCTGGGGGCGCCTCAGCTGATGGACTGCGAACTGCTGCTCCATACTGGTCCAGGAGCTCGTACGCAAAAAAAAACCGCGAGATGCACGATTACGTAACGCTCTGCGCATCACAACCGCGAACACTGAGACCAACACCAATCCCCTGGCTCCCCGTTCTAGCGAACATTCTGCCAATATCGGCGGGGACATGGCGGAAACTGCGAGGGAGTTGACAGGTTTTCTTGCCAACGACAACCACCACCTGCAACCATCCTCAACCAAGATCTCAACATTAAACCTCGCCGCGAACGACTCACGTCCCGATCGCCCTTCTGGGAGCGCGCTGTTGCGGTGACCATCTGGGAATCTCACCCTGGTCCAAACCAATCGTAATCAGAATATGTATTTATGCTGGAGGAATCCGATGAGCTATAAACTTCTTTTTCACAGATGTCCAGTCGGGGCGGGTCAGAACGCTAAAACAACAAACAGTACAAAAACACGTTTAGGAGTGCAAAGTACAAGAAACATAAACAAATCACTCAACACATACAAATAAAACTGAACCATCTTCATCCTACCAGCTTAGCCCACTGAGGTATTGACTTATTTTTTCAAAAGCGACCTCGCCACAAATGATAGCTCAACAATATGGTTTATCATTTTGACATTTACAGCAGAAAAATAATGTAAATTGTCTAAACGCATGGTTCAATCGCTGGCGAACCGCCTGAAACCACGGGGACGTCCAGAATAAACACCTCATTGTAGACACAACCACCGCACACGCTCCTGACTTTGACATTCCACCTCCTCCTCCTCGAACACACTGGTGATGCAACCATCAACCACATTAGAACATCATCACCAGGCCTATGTGGCACCGCATCCCCTTCACCAATGGAAAATTTAATACACGAGCCATAGTCGTGCGATTGTGGCCATGCAAGACATACTATTGACCCATATAGTAAAAATACTGTAGTCTGCGCTCCTCCAATGGAGGAGCAGCAAAACGTCGCGAATTCTCTCTGTGTGCTGGAGCCCCTCGTCGTGGTCAGCAGCAGATCGCGACATTGTTATCTAGCTCCTGAACATCTTGCAGCTTGCCATCATGCTCAAGAACGCAGCAGACCGGTGAATGTGTTTGGAGTTCCGTGAACCCCATCCGGCCACTGCGTTCACTAATCAGCAGTGTTCCACCGATGGTCACGGCTTTGGCGTGTCAGCACTTGACATGTAACCTGACATACCACGTATGTTACGTGGTATACACAGTGCTACACTACACCCTCTGCACATGGAGACACGTGGCTGTTACACGTGTGTACGTGGGGAGCGGTAGCGCAGCTGTCAGCGCGCTGAGCTTGCGAACCCGTCGATCCGAGTTCCGATTCCAGCTCACGG